ACATGTGATGTAGTTCTGATCGTCTGAACTCTGAATTGCGTGTTTAGTGTCGCATGATGGAAATCCCTGCCTAATGATTACATAATGAAGTTTAGTTCATTGCGGTCAACTTAAGAGACAAACTTTTAACTAACTAATACTTTATATAAGTCTAAGTTTAATTGTTGAGTGAAAGGTGCAGGCATAAAACTTCCAAGTGGTTAGGTACTTTATAGAAACTGAGCAAGTTAGCCTATGTATTTTATGCCTTTAAGAAGTTCATTTTTTGCCTCAAATAACAATGTTGGATAGAAAAAGTGGTCTTGGTCGATCGAAATAATATATGAACCTTTAAAATTAGAATTCCATCCTGCAACCAATCACAGCTTGAAAGCATCCCCATCAACCAATCACAGCTTGAAAGCATTTCCATCAGCCAATCAAAGGCTAGAAAGCAGATAACATTACAATTCCATTATTTAATCACAGCTGGAAAGCTGAAAGTGGCTAAAATCACAAACCAATCACAGATGAAATTCTGGAAAGGGATAGGATATGTAAATAATGAACTGAAAGTGTAAAGTTCCTGGCCTTTCCAAGCTTTCAGGTCCTGCTTTCCAATATGCTATGTGTACTGGTTAATTTATTATCCCTCTAGAATTCCACAGTGAATTTTGATAGTAAACTGTGGATTGATCAATCAACACAGGCCACAGCTGTCACTGCGCATATTTTCAGTTTGTTTGATTGCTTGTATCTGCAAGTGCAACCCAATTGTAATGTGCATACCGCACAGCATATGTTTGGCATGCCTGCTGCTTGCTTCTACTGAAGAAACTTGTCTATGCTGATTTGCTGAGTATGCTCCATGTTAGACTGGCAGAGGTCTATTCTTAACAGTTGATTCCATTTCTTGGTTGGGAAACTTTCCATTAGCTGATTAGCTCATTAGCAGCATCTCTAGATCCAGAATTTTGTTTTTTTTTTCTGTTGGTTTCCTCCAGGAGTAAGATCCTCAGAAGCTTTCCTCTTCTGTCTTTCACTAGTTGGTTCCACTTCAGCATCATTCCAGACTTCCTCACCAGCAACAAAGTGTTTCAGTTGGGAGTCCCGACTCCCGAGTCCGTTAGATTTTCAATTTCTGCTTTGGGAGCTTCTGCTGGGTTGTTGGGAGCTTACAGGAGAGCCAGGGCCTTTGAAGCTATCTTTATTAAGTTTGGTCATTTCTTTCACTTTACAGTGTAAAGACTATTCGTGATTTTAGTGATTAGTTTCACAGTTAGGTGTATACCACATGTCTTTACAGCACAAGTGACCACTGAGTCACTGACCAATCGAAACTCTCGAGTCTCGAGATCAGAATAAATGAGCCTATTAATGAGGTGCGAGATGTAGCGGCTCCAAATTCATGGTTCTGGCAAGTGGCATTACATAGTGGCAAACCAGAGATTTTTTAGAATCAGTTCATTTTTAAATTCCTCATTTACTCAAGATTTTAACAGATTTCTTATGTATGATAATTCTGGTATCCAAGATACTTTACTGGAATACTGGTCTACTTATAGGACTCAAAAATGAACTTGAGGAAGAGTCTAAAAAACTCTCTGCTTTGCCACTATGTTACTGTGGCAACAAAAACAATTTAGATAACCTCAGGACTTGGAAATAGTTCAACGGTTGCAGCCTCAAATGTGTTTCCTTTCAAACGACATATAACCGCAATTTTGTATAATAAAAGAGTTTCCCACAGCAAAACATTTAAAATAAATTCCCACTAAAAAGAGCATTGACCCAATTGTGTGACAACGAACATTGATCAACTTGCGCTGTCCCTCCACGAACTTCATTTTCGGATTTTGGCTGAGGCAGGAACAGCCGGTAATTTTTGAATTAGTAATGTTAGACAATGATTTCCTTTCATGTTCTTCTTTTCGAAACTCATTTGTTTCTCAAAAACGCGAGTAAATTAGCTCATAACTCATTGATTTTTTTTTTATAAAAAGGCCTCCCACACTCACCATTCCAACAAAAAAAAGGAATTGATTTTATTAATTAAAAACAGGGAATGGTTTCATGTCAATGATCAGGGCCCCGACCTTAACGCCTCTGATGGTGGCCTACACCGACTCCGAGGGTCACTGAGCTGTGACGCGAGCGAGGAGCTGTCTCTTATACACATCTAGATGTGTATAAGAGACAGTGCTAGCTGCATTGCCTCTCTGCACAGCCAAACCCAACCTTTGCTCCAACCATAGAGTCTCTCTACGTTCGCCGGACAATTCCGTAATGCGACGGCCAATCTCTGATATTAAAGGACCAGTCGTTTCACCAAATGTG